ATACCCCTTCTACTAATTCGCCTCGCAATTCCACTATTTCATTCAACTAATTATGCGGGAAAGATCTAGGAACGTCACACGAGCTCCGTTTCTTAAGTTTCCTTGGGTCAATCTGTAGCTGCGTAGCAATTTCAGTTCCACTGTCAGCGAGCAGGGAGCAGGTAGCAATTCCAACTATCTTGGTAGAAATCTTGGTTTTGATTCCCTCCCCGATTGCAATTTGTTTCAATCGTAGTGCTTGGTATCAACTCAAAGCATGGTATCTGATTATGATTTATGTTACTTAATTGATTATGATATAAGGTCTCATCTGCTACCATATGTGATAAATATGAACAGCTGAGGAGGGTTCACGAGGACCCCTTGGACAGGTCTCATCTGCTACCATATGTGATAAAAAACCTTTTCTTTTTTGTGCATGTTCTTGTGATTTGGAAATTGAATAAATGTACAAACATTATGATTGATGCAGCGATGAGTGTTGCGATCATGGTTGGGTTCACAACACTTGTTGGGTTCACTTGTGGTGCTAATTGTTTTCCCGGCGAGAAAAATAAAGATGAACAGAATTGGATTTGCACCTTTGACTTCCAAACAAACGATTAACAAACACGGTCCACACCTCTTTGAACAAAGTTCAAACAAGGGTGTTCGATGTTCTTGATGATCTACGAGGCAAACTAAATTACATTAACTCTACTCCTATGGAGGTTCAGTGAGAGCTCTGAAACTACAACTATGGCTATGACTACATTTGCAGAGGAAAAGGTAAAGATAAAAGGATAAAATATGACAATAGGTTGTCTGGTGTGATTTTGGCGAACCCCTTCTCTGTCATCTTCACCTCCTATTTATAGCCATAAGAAGTAACTGCCACAAGAAACTGCTCTGCTGACGTGGAGTGACAGTTACCCTCTCAACTGCTTCGACGGTTACCTTGACTTTGGATGTAGACCAATCTTGGCCTCTCCTCTTGAAACCTCACTCCATGCTCTTGGTATCCCCTCCGTAGCTTTTCTTGTCTATAGAGAAAAAATGGCTAAGGCATGAAAGCAGACCACGTGTCACATATGGGTGGGTACTCGAATCACTTGAGTCAAAAATGGCAAAAACACTTCACCATTACAGGAGTAGGGAGACCACGTGCCCACCTGACCCCCCTTGACCACCTCACGAGGGTGATGTCTTGGTAGCCCCCCCTAGCAACCTCATGGGGGCGATGTTGACCACGCCCCTTGGCCATACCATGGGGCGTATGCTGGTGACCCCCTGGCCATCCCATAGGGGTAGATATTAATCACCGCCCTGGTCATATCATGGGGATTGCATGCTCATGGTGGGGTGTGTTGATGGCCACCCCCTGATCATCTCATGGGGGTTTCTCCATGGCATCCTTGGTGATCACCATGGGGCCCCCATCCTTCTCCATACTTAATCGTATTTCACCCCCATGGGAGTTGGCAATATGACCCCCTCACTACGTCCTGAGTCACCCCCTTACCACGTCATGGGGGTGGCGATATGGTACTCACCCCCTTGGTACCTCCTGGGGGTGGCAGTATGATGCCTACCCCCCTTACCACGTCCTGGGGGTGGTAATTCTTCTTTTTGCCTTAGCCAAATTCGGCCATCACCCCTCTCACCATGTTCTGGGGGTGGTATGATGGTGGTCACCCCCCTTGGTACCTCCTGGGGGTGGCGGTATGATGCCCACTCCCTTGCCACGTCCTGGGGGTGGTATGATGGTGGCCACCCCCTTTGGTACCTCCTGGGGGTGGCAGTATGATGCCCACCCCCCTTGCCACGTCCTGGGGGTGGTATGATGGTGGCCACCCCCCTTGATACCTCCTGGGGGTGTCGGTATGATGCCCACCCCCCTTACCACGTCCTGGGGGTGGTATGATGGTGGCCACCCCCCTTGATACCTCCTGGGGGTGGCAGTATGATGCCCACCCCCCTTACCACGTCCTGGGGGTGGCTTCACCATGTGGGTGGCGGTATGATGTCCACCCCCTCTGGGTGTCATGGGAGTGGCTCCCATACTTAGCCAAATTTGGAGATACATGGCGCGCGTGGTGGCATGGAGTAATGGGCCCAAAAAACCCAATCTCCATGGCCCACTCAACTGATTTAAACTGATATGATTAAGTTGGCCTTATAAAGCTATTTAATTCCTTGTTTTTAACCGATGTGGTACGAGGTTAATTTTTATGGGTAAACAAATGCCCCCAACTACTTGGTGCATAAGAATTATGGACTAAGTAGTTTCACACCAACTAGGCCATCAAACTCAAATAGTTGGCCATACAGTTTAAATGACGAAAACAATCCCAATTTCTTCTCCTTTGCTGCCATGTGGGAGGAAGGAAGGGAGTCAAACATAATTATTCCATAGTCCTTCCATCTCGACACAACCGTGCCCCCCATGCCACTGTGACCACCAACAGTTATGGTCACTCTTAAATCACACGGCGTGGTATCTTTTGAAGTTATTGGGCTACAACATCATGCCCCTCTAGTTAATCCAAACTACTACTAATCATACCCCATGCCATTCACCATCACCTCCATGTCTTGTCATGGGGTTTATAGTTCACACCTTACAAAATTTTAAAGTTTGGCATGGTTAGGCCACCTTAATGGCCTAACAATACGAGTAATGATTGAGGTTTACCAGTCGTGGTAAGATTTTCACATAAAAACCTACTAACTTCTTCTGAAACTTGCCACTTTGGGATTTTAAATATATATAGCCATGATTGGCTTTTATATATTAATTATTATTATTTTTTATTTTTTTATTGTATATAATAAGTAGTTACAAGCATCATTGATCTCCATACCCTTTGGCAATAACCAAAGTGCCAAAGGTATACATCCACTGCCAAGTCCATGTATTAATTTAAACCAAACAAGTCAACCATACACCATATGGCCATGGTTGTTCAAAGGAGATGATTCTTCACAAGCTGACTTTGAATCACCCCCAACACCATTTTTTCCCTTCTGACCCTTACCATCACTTTGGACTTGGGCATGCTTGCCCTGGTCAGACACTATCACTTTGGAACCCGTGGTCATAGAGTTGTCAACCTCAATACTAGCATGACCATCCTCATTTTGTTGTGTTGGTCTCACCATCTCACCAGGTACTACAGGGTATTGCCTCTTTCGTGCTTTGGCATTCTTACGTAGGAATATCCTCCTTTGAGTCTTTGTCATCCCCAATAGCTACTGGTTGACTATGCATATCATAAGTATGCCCCCCCCTCCTTGTGGTACATTGGGCATCTTAGAAGTCCTTCTCATGGGAAGAGGGCCATGTGCCACCCATTGCCGTCTTTGCCCCCATGTCGGTTGAATGACCCCCTCTACTTGTCTTTGATAGGATGGGTATCTCGGCCTATGGAGTGGACCAATTCTTTGTTGGACTGGTCTATTCGGTCTCACCTCATCAAGTCTAGAACTCCTTTTGCATTGGGCACATAGCTTCTCCACCTCACTTGACACCTTAGAAGCGGCCGAGTTTGCCTGCGTACCCTTCGATGACTCTCCCTGCTCGAACACCATGGTGGGGGTCCCTTGTTGCGTTGTTGTATCCAACACCAGCTTGAAACGAGGGAGCTCAATTTTTGAGAAGTCTGGGTTAACCATGTTGACACCAAGCAAGTTCGGAAATGGGTTGGTATCCACCAGCATGGCATCTTTCTTTGGCTCGGGGAGCTTGATGCGACCCTTCTCAATGGCATTCTGCAATATATTGCAAAAAACCACACATGAGTTTGTGGAGTGTAGCATGTTGTTATGCCACTTACAATATGTTTTCCCTCTTAACTTCTCAGGGGGTCGGATGTTATGCCCCCCTGTCAACTTGATTTGGCCATCCTTGTAGAGTTGGTCAAAAATCAAGTCAGCCTTGGAGATATCGAAGGAATACCTCCGTGGCTGGATAGGGGCACGATTTGGTTTACCCCCTTGTGGTTCATTGTCCATCTTAGCGAAAGGAGCACATACATATGGCTTCTCTGGAGTTAACTCAGCCAGGTCTACCTCCACCTCATTGGCCTCTTGGCCAATATGGTTAACAGGGTAGCCGATGTTGGGGAAGTATTGCCCCCTTGAGGCACTCCTCCTATTCTCCTCTTCTTGAAGAAGAGATTCATATCTCACCGCACAAGACATGAGTTGGAACAAGTCAGAGAATTTCTATCTTGGAATTTCTTCCTTAACTCAAAACTCAACCCCCCTTGTGCTAACTTGACAAACTCTCTCTGTGTCAAGTTGACAAAACAACGGTTACGAGCATTCTTGAAGTTTGTCAAGAAGTGCTCCACCGACTCCCCTGGCTCTTGGCGCATGCGCGCCAAATCAACCATGGAAACCTCACGCTCAGATCTATAGAATTGAGCATGGAAGATTTGCTCCATCTGCTGCCATGTTTGGATGGAGTTGGATGGCAAGTTGACATACCAAGCAAAAGCAGGTCCTGTCAATGAGTTTCCAAATACTCTTAACTTAATAAAATCTCCTACATCCCCACACTGGACAGTAAAACGTCCAATGTGCTCCACAGTAGACTGGCCCTCTGTCCCAGTGAATGTGGCAAACTCGGGCACTCTAAACCCCCTTGGAAATGGGTAGAGTCTATCCACCCACTCCGGGTATGGTTTTCGATAAACAGGTGGCATGGTGGGTCTCACTCCCATGCCAAGTTGCTCGGCAAGAAGTTGAGCCCCCTGATCCCTTAGAGTGTTGGGATCATGCCCCCCTGGTTGCCCCCCTTGGGGTACGAAACCCATGGGGTCCATGCCATGCCCATTGAAATGGGGTGACATGGGTGTTGGGTATGCTCTGGGAGGAACTTGATCTCCCTCACCTAAGCCTACTCCCCCTCCCATGTGAGCAGGCACCGTATAGGGCCTTGCCACTGGTATGGGTATGGGTGGCGGTTCCGCCGGAGCAGAATGTGTAACTCCCAAATTCTCACCACGTGGGGGAATTTATCCAACTCCCACATTGGGTATCCCTTCCACTTGAGAAGTGGCAGGAATCTCGCCGCGATTCATGCGGTGAGGAGTTGGTTGGTTTGTCATCGGCGGAAAGAGGTTATCTTGCCGTGGCTGACCATTTCCGCCGCCGACGGGAGATGAACTAGCATTCAAAGAATTGTTAATTGGATTTGGATTCCCGCCATCTAATGGCAGAGCTCTAGATTGGATTATTGGTGTGGTTAAAAACCTTCTGAACTCATCAAAATCAATTCTTATTAACCACTTCAAATAATTGACTTAGACGTCTATCAACTCTAGAATTAAGACAGTCCACTTGAGAATTTACCGGATGAGAAGCAGCTCTAGCCTCCTCCATCATGCGACGGTTCTCCACCATCATTTGGCGGTTCACCTCTGTCGCTTGACGGTTCTCTGCCACCAGCTTGCGGTTCTCCCCCATCATTTGACGAAGGACCCCCCACTACTTCACCAATATCTCCACTAGGCGTCGCCGTTGGTAGGATCTCCGCCCCACTATTGTTTCCGGCCACCGCCTCTGACACTTGGCCATGTTCAATGTTGGCCACTTGCTCCTCTACAAAACCAGCCGGAGCGTCACCTTCATGATTCCTCCACCTCGGAGCCATCAAATCGAACACACGGGTCCCACCAGGTGTGCCAATTTGTTTTCCCGGCGAGAAAAATAAAGATGAATATAATTGGATTTGCACCTTTGACTTCCAAACAAACGATTAACAAACACGGTCCACACCTCTTTGAACAAAGTTCAAACAAGGGTGTTCGATGTTCTTGATGATCTATGAGGCAAACTAAATTACATTAACTCTACTCCTATGGAGGTTCAGTGAGAGCTCCGAAACTACAACTATGGCTATGACTACATTTGCAGAGGAAAAGGTAAAGATAAAAGGATAAAATATGACAATAGGTTGTCTGGTGTGATTTTGGCGAACCCCTTCTCTGTCATCTTCACCTCCTATTTATAGCCATAAGAAGTAACTGCCACAAGAAACTGCTCTGCTGACGTGGAGTGACAGTTACCCTCTCAACTGCTTCGACGGTTACCTTGACATTGGATGTAGACCAATCTTGGCCTCTCCTCTTGAAACCTCACTCCATGCTCTTGGTATCCCTTCCGTAGATTTGCTTGTCTATAGAGAAAAAAGGGCTAAGGCATGAAAGCAGACCACGTGCCACATATGGGTGGGTACTCGAATCACTTGAGTCAAAAATGGCAAAAACACTTCACCATTACAGGAGTAGGGAGACCACGTGCCCACCTGACCCCCCTTGACCACCTCACGAGGGTGATGTCTTGGTAGCCCCCCCCCCCTAGCAACCTCATGGGGGCGATGTTGACCACGCCCCTTGGCCATACCATGGGGCGTATGCTGGTGACCCCTTGACCATCCCATAGGGGTGGATATTAATCACCGCCCTGATCATATCATGGGGATTGCATGCTCATGGCAGGGTGTGTTGATGGCCACCCCCTGATCATCTCATGGGGGTTTCTCCTTGCCATCCTTGGTGATCACCATTGGGCCCCCATCCTTCTCCATACTTAATCGTATTTCACCCCCCATGGGAGTTGGCAATATGACACCATCACTACGTCCTGAGTCACCCCCTTACCACGTCATGGGGGTGGCGATATGGTACTCACCCCCTTGGTACCTCCTGGGAGTGGCAGTATGATGCCTACCCCCCTTACCACGTCCCGGGGGTGGTATGATAGTGACCACCCCCTTTGGTACCTCCTGGGGGTGGCAGTATGATACCCACCCCCCTTGCCACGTCCTGGGGGTGTCGGTATGCCACCCCCCTTGATACCTCCTGGGGGTGGCAGTATGATGCCCACCCCCCTTACCACGTCCTGGGGGTGGCTTCACCATGTGGGTGGCGGTATGATGTCCACCCCCTCTGGGTGTCATGGGAGGGGCTCCCATACTTAGTCAAATTTGGAGATACATGGCGCGCGTGGTGGCACGGAGTAATGTGCCCAAAATACCCAATCTCCATGACCCACTCAACTGATTTAAACTGATATGATTAAGTTGGCCTTATAAAGCCATTTAATTCGTTGTTTTTAACCGATGTAGTACAAGGTTAATTTTTATGGGTAAACACTAATATATTAGCTTTGTAATAACATAAAAATTTGCTTTATGCCCGCCTGTATTTTGCTTTATGCTTATTAAGTTGTGGTCATTTAGGTGGATGGTTAATGCAGATAGATGAGCTTCTCATGAACATGTTATTGTTTTTTGAAGCGAATAAGCAGCCTTGTTTTGATTTTAGGCTACTCCCGGAGATGGAGATAGCAAGGGCTGGATCAGTTGCGTGTAGTGGATGGCAATGGGTCGGGTTGGGGCGGGTTTTGTCAAACCCAAACCCATGGGTTTATCCGCAAAAAAAAAAATCAGGGGTGAAACCCGTTGGTTTTGAAAAACTCAAACCCAACCCGTTGGGTATCCGCAGGTTCATGGGTACCCGTGGGTTTTTGCGGTAAAAAATTTACAATAACAAGTTTCTTTCAAAATATAAGTTTAACATCAATTTTCTCATACAAATTAATCATACAAAAAACACCAATCTAGAGTATACAAGCAAATCGCAAATGATCAATACAAATTGTTCAAAATTAAAGATAAACATCTATAAACAATAAGATTAATTGAAAGCTTCTTCCTCGTCAACTAAGTTTCTTCACTCTCCACTTCATAATATCAACTTCATTCTAAACAATTAGAAAGAACAAATTATACGTGTTTCCACAAAACATAAAGAATATTAGTTATTTAAGAAAGATATATTATTTAGAATATTAAATATACCGGGAAAGTAATTATATATGTGTGGGCGGGTACCCATGGGGCGGGTTTAGCTAAACTCAAACCCAGCCCGACCCGGTGAATAGTGTAGCGGGTTTAAACCTGAACCCTGCCCAAAACCCGTCAACATGGGTTTTACCCACGTTGACCGGGTTGGGTCGGGTGGGTACCCGTGGGTTCGGGTTTTGTTGCCATCCCTACGTGTAGAGGTGGTAATTAGGATCCAAATCCATGAATCCAATTCAATCCATCCACCAATCCACTTAAATCTAATCCATTTTATCCAAATCCAATTGGATTGGTGGATTCATGAATCAATCCATGGATCCAAATGACAAATTACGATTTGGTACCTATATTTTTTATATTTTACCTTTTGGTACCTAAAATTTATATTTTTATACGAAAAAATCATTGAAAAATTACATTATGGTACCTAAAATTTTTCATTATGACATTTTAGTACCTAAACTTTTAAAAATTTACATTTTGGTCCAATCCTTGGATATCATTTGAGTACCCTAGCAGAACCGCCTCTTCCCAAGGCGGTTTCCGTGACCGTCGGATTAGGAGGCGATCCGACGGCAGACTGTTTGCCAACTCAGCGGTCCACGTCTTGGCCCGGGAACCGCCCCCTCCAGCGGAGGTTTTGAAGAAACACAAACAAAACCGTGGGTGGGGGACACGGTTTGTGTTGCAAAATTACAAAACCGCCCCTCCAAGGCACGGTTCTGATACTATAAATAGCCCCCTCCCCCTTCTCATTTTTTCACACCAAAACTCACTCTCCTCTCTCTCTCTAAGATTAGTTTTCTCTAACATTCCCCTCCCCACCCAAAAAAGTAGGAAATAGTGGTCTGTTGGTTGCGGTAAAGCAATACAAAGTGCCACTTACTTAGACTATTCATAAAGAGATGCATGCCTAAGGAAATAGTGTCTTAAGCGATCATCATGGTCCTCTCATGACCTGGGAAAATCGGGTTCTAAGAGATCCTCGGATCCCTCCTTTTTCTGTCAAAAAGTTTGTGTTTCTAAGGAGATGTATACCTCTTCTAAGAGTCTAACGAGTGTACTTGTATGCTTTAAATTATCGAAAATATTCAATATGATTTAAAAAATAATATAATTGATTATAATTTTCTGTACATAATTAATTCTATGAAATGTTTCAAAATGCTATTCATTTAATTTAGTTAATTATTTTAGTTAACGTAAATATGTTTTTTTATTAAATTATTTATACATTGTGAAAAACCTTGATTTTATTAATTCTATGCACAATGAAATATTTCAAAATGTTCATTTAATTTAGTTAATTATTTTAGTTAACTTAAATATGATTTTTAGTAAATTATTTATACATTGTGAAAAACCTTGATTTTGTTAATTCTATGTACAATGAAATGTTTCAAAATGCTATTCATTTAATTTAGTTAATTATCTTAGTTAACTTAAATATGTTTTTTTAGTAAATTATTTATACATTGTTCAAAACCTTGATTTTGTTAATTCTAATTATATGTACAATGAAATGTTTCAAAATGCTATTCATTTAATTTAGTTAATTATCTTAGTTAACTTAAATATGTTATTTTAGTAAATTTATTTATACATTGTTCAAAACCTTGATTTTGTTAATTCTATGTACAATGAAATGTTTGAAAATTCTATTCATTTAATTTAGTTAATTATTTTAGTTAACTTAAATATGTTTTTTTAGTAAATTATTTATACATTGTTCAAATAGATTTATATATATTTTTAAATTATTTTAGTAATTCTATGGTGTTTGTTAAAATAGATTTATATATATTTATAAATCATAAACTTATAGCGAAAGTTAATTTATTCGCTAGGAGGCGCACCGTATAGTCGGGTCTAGGAGTTCCAGCGCTGTGCTCCCATGGAACGACGCCATCTTGCCCTATCTTCCAAGGGCAAGGTTGGATTCGATTAGACATTTCGTAGGAATCAAGATCGACCGCCAGCTCATCACAACGTTGGTGGAGAGATGGCGATCGAAGACCCATTGCTTCAACTTCTCCGAAGTCGAGTGCACCATCACACTGAAGGACATCGCCATCTTAATCGATTTGCCCATTGACGGCGATGTCGTGTGTGTGGACGATCACCCACCACCCTTATTTGGAATGTGGTTGTAGTACGGGATAGGTACCCGGTCACGAGCCACCTCATCATCAGCTGAGTCTGAATCAGGGCCTGAATCATCAGCACCTTCAAGAGGGTCGTAGCTGTCTGCACTCACATCACCTTCCTCTTCTTCATCCTCGGGATCGCTGATTGGTCTTGGGAGGACATCTTCCATCTCATCAAGAACATGAAAGGCACAACATCATCTTCGTAATGGCA